GGTGTGTGTGTGTGTGTGTGTGTGTGTGTGTAAGTTTAGACCTATATACGGCATATTTCACTAATGAGACGCCGATACATAATTTATAGGTTTATTGAGTAGTATAGTTTGATTATGTTATATATTTGTTTCATTGAACTTACAATTCTTGCAGAGTTTTCAGCCCACAGAAATAATTTTTTGAAATAAATCGAATGCTATTTTTTGACAGAATTAATCTCTTCGGCGAGTGAGCAAGGATGCTACTATTTTGTTGAGAACTTAGATCAATATAGTTTAAACTCAATATTCTGAAGAATAAAAATAGGAAGTTATACGCATGTAATCATTTTATTATAATTTTGATAACTAATCGTTAATAAAATAACAATTGATGAAATATTATTGGATCAACTTGTAGTAGCAGTAGCAGTATGCAGTAGTATTATTAGTAGTAAGTAGCAGCAGCGGCAACAGCGGCAGCGACGGCGTTAACAGCGTAGCGTAGTAGTAGGCTAGTAGAAGTAGCAGCAGCAGTAGTCAAATAATAATTAATTCCAATAATAATAATAATTCCAATTTCTTCTATACCGGTCATATGTATGTAAATATATTTACACTTTAATCATTGAGATTAGGCTACTAATTAGCAGTAGCAGCAACAACAACATAACAACAACAACATAACAACAACATAGATCATTAAAGTCATCTAACTAAGTGAATATAATTCCATATTTCAGCGTAATTGAGGAAAAAATGACTTTACTCTCGTTATTTACTGTTTCTTTATTTGTTTTTTAGCAAGTTGCATTGTTTACAGTGTCAATCTAGATCTAGATTCCTGCGGTTCATCTCACTACAAATCCATGTAAAAGTAAAAAGAGGTTGTTGATCTCCTCCTTCGTATATATAAACAATCACCCAACCATTTTTTTTTTGCCAAACTTTCCACCCATAAAGTTCTGTCAAGTTTAAATGAAGCCTTGTTCTCCATGGTGGATTTCAAGACCTGGCATGTATCAAAGGGGTGGTTTCATTACAGATAAAAAAAAACTTCCCTGCCTACAGACCAATCAACAAATATTTTTTACATGGCTTAATTAAATCAACAGTTTCGACAACTTTGAACTTTACAATGTGGTTAGCTGTCCCTCTCCTAATTTATCATTTTGTAACATGTCACAAATATATAATTTCTAAGAGAAATGTACAGTAAAGCCCTATAAACAAGTAGCCTTACATCATTTATACTGCCTAAACAAATACCCTACCATATGTCAACACAAAATATGAATATTAAAGTTAAGCATGGACACAATAACGTCCACGACCACATTTATCCATGAGTTTTCTAAATGAAATAAGTTAACCTGGACGTTAGAGGTCTAGGCCCTGTGGAAAATTTCCGTAGAATTTGTGTGTACTGTATTTCCATCTGTAATTAGGCCAATCTTCTTTTAGTGGTCATGAATTTTTTGTTCTATTTTATGAAAACTAATTGCGATGTTAAACGTTCTAGAGGTTAAGTGAGCGAAGCAATTTTACAGGAAGAATATCAACACCGATTTCTTCAGGTAAAATAGATTCTAAAAGAATGAGTTTAGGCATTGTTGGCCTAAAAAATCAGAAAAATCCGTTGAGTAACTTGTAATTTCATTTGCTAACCAATATTCGTAAAATATTTGTATCATATATTGTAATACTCACAAGAACCACTCCGTCTTCAGACTATAAACAGCAAGAGGAATTTCTGTCAGTCGGTTATTACCTAATGACCTATAATTCAGATTACATTTGAGAAGAAAACAACACATAAATATAAAGAAATATAAAACAAGTTTACACCATTTCCTCAAATTTTAAATAAAATTCGTAGAACCTTGACAATACGACTTGAAGACAGCATTTTTATTTTATTTTATTTTATTACGTTATAATATAAAAGACAACAAAAACTGCAGCCAATGGATGAAAACGTTTGTTCACATACATAGAAAAACAACGAGGACCATAAAAAAATATATCAACACTACACAATTTTGCTATAATAAAAATACATAGAAATTATATTATAAAAATACAGAGAAATATTAAAATATTTCGCTAGATATGTAAATGTTTTTCCATTTTCTTATATTTTTAATTATACTTATGTGTTGATAATAAATAATGATAGCGCCCTCTGTCGAGTCCGCAAGCATACGGAGCTTTTCATACATGGAGTCCGTGTACATTTGCTATATTTGAACACGTTAATAAATCACTTGAGTTTAATTAATCTGTGTCTGCCTATATATTCAGTGATTACCACAATTTATTTATTCTATATAGGCCTATATATTATATATATATATATACATGCTTGCATGAAATTCTCACTTTATACCATCTAGCTTTTTCTACCCTCACTCACTCGCCACTGAGGAAGGACTAGTGTTGTCCGAAGCTCTGGTTCTATTTCTGGCTGGTTTACTTACGTTTACTTTTTAGCTGTTGCTTATCATTTTTGTATCTCTATTGAGATCCAGCCATTGTTTCCCACAGCATTGTTGTTTTTCAGTATTTTGCCTTTTAATCTATATATACA